AAGAGGGAGAGTAGTATTCATACTGAGTAATTGTGGAGGAGGAGGAGGAGGAGGAGGAGGAGGAGGAGGAGGGGGAGGGGGAAGAGGAGGAGGAGGAGGAGGAGGAGGAGGTGGGGAGGAGGAGGAGGAGGAGGAGGAGGAGGAGGAAGAGGAGGAGGAGGTGGGGAGGAGGAGGAGGAGGAGGAGGAGGAGGAGCATCACTCATGTGACGTTTGCTGTTCGAGGCAGTGCAGAAGAGAAGTGCTCGAAGAGGTGCCAATCGCCGCTCGGGGCGCCCGCGGCCTGCGCTTGAGAGCGCAGGCAAAAAGGCGCCGTTCGGCGCAGGAGTGGGGGCCCGAGGCAGAGCCTGGAAGCGCGGGGGCAGCGATTCTCTACAGGGCAGTTTGTAATACATAGGTTTTTTTTTAACATATAGGGAACACATGATTTTTAAACATATAGGATTTATAGTACATGATTAATTTATGAATACATTTATGCATGAACTCATCGTTGTTTTTAGTGCTAGATCCCTGCGTTTTTAAGACATGATCCGCACGCGAAGCATGTATCAAAAACGGCACTGCACGTTCCCACCCACACTTGAGTACAACGGATTTGGCACCCAGGTACACGTCGGTCCGAAGACGTAGGCAGAGACATGCAGTAGGAAGGCGGATACAGTCGGCGGTGGACAAACCTCCCTTCAGTAGACCTCCCCTCAGTGACAACGGCCTGGGACCGAAACTGACGGACCTGGACCCGCAAAAATGACGGCCGCGACGCCCTCTCGCGAACCGAAAGCGGCCAATTCACTAATCGACGTGTCAGGGTAGGAGGTCTGTCCATCCCCGATACAGTGGATTGGGTGCAGGTCCTCCCAGAGAATAACAGAACACAGCAAAAGCATGTCGATTCTTGAAGTGGGGAGGCGCTTGTCGCAGATTGGGATCTGGGAATCCCAAAGTACCTACTTTCAACCACCGGCGTGTAACCTTGTCAGACCTACCGAGCACGGAGATCTCCGCTCATATTAAATCGGGGTGGGCTGAGTTGCATCAGTTATGGCCGCTGCTCAACCCCGGGCGGGGGGCACTGAAGAAACGCCGTCGTTTCTTTGACGCCTGCGTCTCTCGGAGCGTTCTTTGGTGCTGCGAGCCGTGGCTCCCCACGCAGAGAGAAAGACGGGAGCTACAATCTGTACAAAACGACATGTTGCGGAGAGTCGTTGGAATCAGACGAGGCCCAGAAGAGCAGTGGGTTGCGTGGGTAGTTCGCTCCACAGGGACCGCAAGCGTGGATGCAGAACGACACAGCATCAACATGTCGGAACACACATACTTGCAATCTAAGTGGCAGTGGGCCGGTCATATTGCGAGAATGAGGAATGACAGGTTGTGCAAGAAATCCGTCGCGTGGAGAGATGCGGAATGGTGCGTGCTGCTAGACCTGGTTGGCAACAGCACAAGGCCACGTCGCGCGCACGGGTTCCGACGGGAAGATGATCTTCAAACTTTTGACACTTCCTGGAAAGACGAGCCCAATACAGGTACCAGTGGAAGGCAGCGGCGTTGCAATTTGGTCTGGGTTCTGAAAGGTTGCACCACCACGTTCAACAAGAAGAGGCGCCATGAGAGCTGGGGAAATATCATGGCCCCCGCCATGATATCCAACCCCCCCTTGTCATCACCCCCCTCTTTTCCGCCCCCGATGAAAGGTTGCACCATCGCGCTCAACATCGATGTAGCAGAACATGCGAGAAGTGGGCGCATGGGAGGTGTCGTTTGTGAGAATGCGAGACGCGCCAGAAGCACGGGTGCTGTGTGTGGATGTAAGCAACGGTCGCAGCGGCTGGGTGAGAGCCAAGGACGCGCTACGGCGCGATCTCCCCTCTCTTCGGAGCGTCCGCGTACGGGAAGCAACAGCAGTCCCTGAGCTCCGACGTTGCGAAAAAATTGCGAGATCGCAGCAAAACAAGCACGACCCTATCTTTTGCATATGTTTCGGGCCTCATCGATATGTGAGGGTCCTGGGGCCCGAAACGGGGCAAAAGCGCCCGTTGTGAAAAAATGCGACGCCAAGATATCAATGATCATCCTCATCCACCTCCTCCGCTTCTTCTCTACCTCGCCCTCGTCGTCCGCATCCTCACCCTCCTCGTCCACCCTTCGTCTTCGCCACTCTCCAGTCCTCTCGCTTTCCTTTCCTCTTTCCTGTCTTCCTCCTCTTCTGCCTCCGCCCCCTCCCCCCTCCTCCTCTTCTCCTTTTTTCCGTTTCTTCCTCCTCCTCCTCTTCTGCCTCCTCCTCCTCCTTCGCCTCCTCTTCTGCCTCCGCCCCATCCCCCTACCACTCTCTCCTCCTCCTCCTCCTCCTCCTCCTCCTCCTCTTCCTCTTCTGCCTCCTCCCCCACCTGCGACCACGGCGAAGAAGACGAGGCCGAGACCACCGACGACGACGCCGCCGCCGACGAAAGAGACCGACGCCGACGAGGTCGACGCCGACGAAACCGCCGAACACGGGGCCGACCGACCCTGAGATCTGACGTTGCGAAAGCTTGCAACGCTGCGAACACTCACGACCAGAGCCCCAGACCCCATCCTCACGCATTATTCCCCACATCCAAAGTGGGGTTCTTGTTTTCTCAGCACACGCCGCGCAGGATCTCACACCCCCCCTTTCCTCTCTCTCTCTCTCACACACATTCACCACCATCACCATCATCATCATCAGCAACCACCATCATCGTCATCACACGCACACACTCATCATCATTACCATCATCATCACCATCAACCACCTTCACTACTCATCATCATCATCATTCTCATCATCATCGTCACCATCATCATCACCACTCTACCACCCACTCACTCAATCAATTACTCACTCATCCTCAGTAGGCTTCGGAAGCAGCGGTTTTCCGACGGTAGGACCGCCGCCTCTCTCAACATCATCGTCACCATCACCATCATCATCTTTCGATCACCCACTCACTGGTCACCATCATCATCAGTGTCATCATCACTCACTCGTCACTCATTCATCATCAGCACTCACTGACTCATCACTTCGTCATCAATCACTCCCTCGATTAAATATGGAGGACGTATCAGGCGGGAGCCTCGTCGGTGAGTGAATTGCAAGGAAGTCTCCGGCGGGAGCCCCCTCCCTATGGGGCCCGCACTTCATGTTGGTAATCCGAGCGGGTCGTCCGAAACGTGTAACTGTCGTCACTTTTGGGCTCCTGAGGCCTGAATATGCAAGAAGTATCAGGCGGGAGCTTCGTCTGTGAGTGAATTGCGAGGAAGTCTCAGACAGGAGCTCCCTCCCTATGGGGCCCGCACTTCATGTTGGTAATCTGAGCGGGTCATCCGAAACGTGTAGTTGTCGTCACTTTTGGGCTCCTGAAGCCTGAATATGGAGGAAGTATCAGGCGGGAACCTCGTTTGTAAGTGAATCGCGAAAAAGTCTCAAGCGGGAACCCCCTCCCTATGGGGCCCGCGCTTCATGTTGGTAATCCGAGCGGGTCATCCGAAACGTGTAACTGTCATCACTTTCGGGCTCTTGAAGCCTGATTCTGGAGGAGATATCAGTCGGGAGCCTCGTCTGTGAGTGAATTGCGAGGAAGTCTCCGGCGGGAGCCCCCTCCCTATGGGGCCCGCAGATCATGTTACGAATCCGAGCGGGTCATCCTGAAACCTGTAACTCTCGTCACTTTTGGGCTCCTGATGCATGAATATGAAAGAAATATCGCGCGGGCGCCTCGTCTGTGAGTGAATTGTGAGGAAATCTCAGGCGGGAGCCCCCTCCCTATGGGGCCTCCGGGTCACGTTACGAATCCGAGCGGGTCATCCTGAAACCTGCAACTGTCGTCACTTTTGCGCTCTTGAGGTTTGATTGCGGAGGAAGTATCAGGCGGGAGCGTCGTCTGTGAGTGAATTGCGAGGAAGTCTCAGGCGGGAACCCCCTCCCTATGGGGCCCGCATATCATGTTACTCATCCGAAGCGGGTCATCCTGGAACGTGTAACTGTCGTCACTTTAGGGCTCTTGAAGCTTTAATATGGAACTTATCGAGCGGGAGCCCCCGCCCCATGGGGCCCGCGTATCATGTCACGAATCCGAACGGGTCATCCTGAAACCTGTAACTGTCGTCACTTTTGGGCTCCTGAGGCTTGAATATGAAGGAGGTCTCAAGCGGGAGCCTCGTCTGTGAGTGGGTTGCGAGGAAATCTCAGGCGGCAGCCCCCTCCCGATGGAGCCCGCACATCATGTTCGAATCCGAGGCGGGTCATCGGATTCTACTAACTGTCGTCACTTGGAGGTCTGAGGACGGATGTTAGGACCGATTTTGAGGATCGAAGGGGGGCTCGCTCCTGCGGCCTGACGGCCGGGGAGTTACCAAGCGGGAGTTTCGTCTGTGAGCGAAGTGCGGGTCGCCCCGTCTGAACTGGTCGCGGGCAAAATTGTTGTTGTCATGGGCGTGCGTGCCGGAAAGGGCGATTGAGAAGTGCGGGTAGCATCGTCTGAGCTGGTCGTCGGCAAACTTGTTGTAGTCATGGGCCTGCGTGCCCGAAAGGGCGACTGAGGAGCTGACGATGACGACGACGAGACAGCGGCCGGGCGCAGGGGTAGCCCCTTGCGTCCGGGCCGGGGGTGGTAACCCATCCTCGGCCGAATCGGGGGCAGGGGTAACCCCTTGTCTCCGGGCTGGCGGTGGTAACCCATCGTCAGCCGAATCGGGCGCAGGGCGAGAGGAGAGGGTGTCCGCCAGGGGGAGGAGGAAAGGGCAAAGGGTAAGCTAAACAGATTCTCATGTGGGGTCCTACCGTCGGAGTAATGTTGAAAAAAGGCGGAACGATCTGTGAGCCGAGCGGACACGCTCAGCGCGAGAAACTGCAACGCCAAGATCTCAGGGTCAGGGGAGGCCGACGGAGACGAAGCCAGCGCAGCCGACGGCGACGAGTGGCGGCGCCGAAGCTTCCCTCGCTGGCGATGGGCGGGGCGCGGCTGAGCGGTGCTCGGCGTCCGCGGGGGGCGCGCAAGCGGCGGCGGGCGCCACAACGGCCGCGGTCTCCGCTGGCGGCCTCCCGGCAGCTGCGGCGTAGTCCTCGATCGTCGTCGCCACCGCCGTTGTCGTCGTCATGGTCGTGGTGTAAGTCGTGGTTGGTCGTCGCGGTCGTCGTTGGCGGCGGCCTCGTCGTCGTGGCGGTGGTCGTCGTGGAGAGCCTCGATGTCGTGGTGGTGGTCGTCGTTGGCCTCGGCGTCGTCCTCATCAGAGCCGTCGTGTTGGTCGTTGTCGTGGTCGCCGTCGTGGGCTTGGTCGTCGTCGTGGTCGTCCTCGGGGCTGCGAAGGGGGGCGGAGCGCAAGCGTGACGAAGTCTGCCATTCCATCAAGAGTCGGTTGAGAGAGGTCCTGGGTCACCCGAAATGGACGTCCGAAATGGGCACGGGAAGAATGGGCACAATGCCCAACAACAAATGTTGTCCCAAACCAACAGCGGCCGCTGTTGGGCAGGCGGCCTTCTGTCTCGAATGGATACAGGCCACGGCGGCGTGGACAGCGAGTCCTGTTCAAAATAAACCAAATCCGCTGTTGGGCATCGTACCCATTCTTTCCGTGCCCATTTCGTTCGTGCAGAGTCTCGCGTCACCTCCCTGGCGGGAAGGGCAGCTCTCCGGCCCAGACCACGGAGAGGCGAGTACACGTCGGTCGGCCGAATCAGGTAAAAACATGAGGCAGGAAGGCGGACAGAGTAGATCGGGTTTAGGCCCTCCCAGGTAATAACACACAGCATATCGATGCCTGAAGTAGAAAGGTGCTTGAAGTAGATTGGGACCTGGGAGCCCACAGATACCTACGTACTTCCAACGACCGACGGGTATTGCCAGAGGTAAGGGAGCGTGGCATGGTACAGGTGATGCATTTCTCCTCTCACTTGGGCTCGCTAGGGGGAAGAACCATGGTGTGCATTCCATGGACTGTCCCGCGTTCGAATTAGCTGCGTTTTTCAGTAGAGAAGATGTCGCTCGCATCAAACCGACTGCAATTGAATTTGCAAAGCGCACCCTCTGAGGGATCAATCATCGCCGAAAGTCGCCATGATCAATACAACGCTCCTTGCGCGGCTCCTCACTGCTGGGAGCCACACCGGCGGGGCTCAGGGTCGGTGGAGCATCGCAAGGATCGACCTAAACAATGTCTTTCGTTTTCGTTTGGCTTTCGTTGCCCCTCGCTTTGTCCTCAATCCGCCTGTGCTGCAGGACGGACTCGAAACGAAAATAAACCACGAAATCGCCAATACACCGTTCCGGTCGACCCCAGGAACATCACAGAAGCACCCGCGATCAGGCACGGCGCCGAAACACACGGCTGCGGTGTTGAGCAGCGGCAAACAGCACGAGCCCGGAAACGAAGAACAGGGAGGCGCGGCGGTGAGAGCTCGGGCACGGCAGGCTTGGGGGCTTTGGCGGCGCGCACCCAAAGGGGTGCGGGGGAGGGTGGAAGGCTTCTTAGAAAGAGAGGCTGCTTCTTCGAAGGCGCGGGTCCTGCATCTACAGACAAGGCCCGTGCCTTCGAAGCAGAGGTGCTTCTAAGAAGCTCCCCCCCCTCCACCCTTTGCGTGGTCGAGGGTTGCTGCATGGGGTGGCGATTAGTGGGGGGCACATAGACGTGCACCCCTCGCGCCCGTTTTTGGCCCAAGGGTCCCCCCTTCCGGGCAAAATATGTGCACCTCTTTCCACCCCCGAGTCCGCCGACCCCTTGGGGTCACGGCGTGTGAGATGCTTCCCCCTCCCCAAACCCCTCCCCCGGGAGCCTGGTCTGGCCGGTTTGGGGTGGGCAAATCCATCATCCGCACACTTGACTTGGAGCCTCAGGAGGCCCCAAAACGGGCCAAAAAGGTTCCAAAGGTTCCCGGAAAGGTCCAAGAGAGTTACGAATCGACGAAAGATCGCCCCAAAAAGCCGAAGATTGCCTCCACACGGCTCCATAAGTCCCCAAGACGTTTGAAACAATATTACGAGGCGTCCCAAAGAGGCCCTCCAGAAGCAAAAATCGTCCCATTCCCTCAATAATGCGTACGTTTTCAGAACATTCGCTTCATGAGCTGTCACGAGGCCCACAACAGCCCAGTAAACCTCGAAGATCGACCCCTGTCGCCCCAGGAGACTCTCCAAAAGGCTCCACGACGGCCTCTGGGCGATCCACGAAGGCTCCAGAAACCATAGGAACGGCCCAGGAAAGCCGCAGGACGATCCCAAGAGGGCTCCAAAACGGGGCATCAGGGCTCCCAACGGCTGTCTGGACGGCCCACGCGGGTGACGATTCGGTCCAAACCGCCCAAGATTGCTTCCAGAAAGCCCCATGGGCGTCCAAGACGTTTGCATACGCGACCACGAGGCGCTCCAAGCAGGCCTCCAGAAGCAAAAACCGTCCCATCTCTTATGGAACACGTGCATTTTCAGCATATTCCATTTTCGAGCTTTCGCGAGGCCCACAACGGCCCAGTAAACCTCCAAGATCGACCCCTGTCACCCCAAGAGTCTCTCCAAAAGGCTCCACGACGGCCTCCGGGCGCCCCACGAAGGCCCCATAAACCATAGCAACGGCCCGGGGGAACGGCAGGACTGTCCTAAGAGGGCTCCGAAACGTGTCTAGGGGGGCCTCACAGGCTGTCCGGACAGGCCACGCGGGGGACGATTGCTGCCGCCCCAAGGGGTCGGCGGTGTGGCGTAAGCCAATGAATCATTCGGAGGTCGAGAAGGGCGTAGCGCCCATGCCGGGACTGGCGATGCTACCTACGATAGCCGCAAGTGCATTGCAGTACGATTTCAACAGCGTTGGCTCTGCGTCGACCGCTTCAAGCAACATCAGTTGGCGGCGCGCACAAGAGGGTGGGGGGAGGGGGGAGGGCTTCTTAGCAGGAGGCTGCTTCTCAGAAGGCGCCTTCTGAGGAGCAGGGTGCTTCTAAGAAGCCTTCCCCCCGCCCCCCCCCGTCTGCGCGTGGCTGAATCAGGAAACAGACATTCCAACTTCCCCACAAACGACCGCCGCCCGATCCCCCCCCACATTCCCACCACGGCGGGCCCAGGCGCCTGCCACCCCCGCGAGCCCCTGAAAGGCCTCGCGCGACCTCCGCCGTCGGGGGGAGGCCCTCCTCGAGAGGGAGCTCGCCGGGGATCCTCGAGCTTGGATCGCCTGCGCCGGCGCAGGCGGTCAAGCTCGAGGATTGGGTGTGGGTCGAGTCTCTTGCGAGGCGCACTTGCGAGTAGGATCGCCTGCGCCGGCGCTGCTGCCGCGCCGCAGGACGGCACGGGGCTACCCTGCGCGACGTGCGGCCATCCTGCTGCCACCACGGGCGCCGAGCGAGAAACGGAGGGGCCTCCCTTCGGCGGCGAGCCCCAGGGGGGAAGCGAGAGGGGGTGGGCCTCGTCAGAAGGTGGCGAAGCTTTTCAGAAGCTCTCCGGCCTTCTGAGAAGCCGCCTCTGTCACCTGAGAAAGCTTACAGTCGGACTCGATTGGACAGGACACGCGAGAGGACACAAGACCCTTCCGAGGGCCACATTGCCACAGGAACGTAGGAAGCATGGGTCGCGAGACACAGGACACGAGGGTACCCTTGATTTGGCAGGGTCGACCCGTTGCTAGTCGTCTTTCATGTGCAGCCTGCTCTCGCCCAGGCAGGCCGCGCGCATCCAGCTTCCTGACCACTACTCCGCGCGGGAACGGTGCGCGGCGCGACGTCGGCGGCACCCCAGAGGGGCCAGCGCGGAGAGCCCGAGGGAGCGCCAGATCCTGCCGACACCGCCACGCCGCCCTCCGAGAGCGCCGAGCCTCGGCGGCGCGCCTCGGGGGGGGGGAAGCGAGAGAGGGGGCATGGGCACGAGGACACGAGGGTAACCTGGGCCGACTGTATGCAGGCCTCTTCCAGAGCGCGGCCGCACTCTGTGAGAAGGCGCCGAGGGGGCCTGAACCCTCTCTCGCTTCCCCCCCTCGACAGCGCTCGGTCGCCCATTCCCCGTGCATCGTTCTGCTTCGCGCGTGTATCTTGTTCGCGAGATGGCCCAGGATGCTCCTTGGTGGCCCTTGCCAACAAGTGCGCGCGTCCGAGCGATGCCCAGCCGCTGGGCTCGCCGCCGACTTTTGGCCACGGGTGCTGCAGGATGGGGCCCGGAAGGAGGGGGTCATGAGGACGAGGTGCCTCAAACAGCGTCAAATCCACCCTCGGGCCCCTTCCTATCCTCAGGCCCCCATCCCTCAGGACCCCACCTCTGAACCGTCGATCCCGCTCTCACCCCCTGGGGCTCGCCGCCGATGCCTGGCCACGGCGAGCCCCAGCCGCAAGAGATACAGGGCAGTTTTTCACACATGGGACTTGAAAAAATATGGGATCTGTTAATACATGGCTGATGTATGAATCAATTCATGCATGAACTCACCGTTGTTTTTATTACTAAATCCCTGCATGTTCCATACATGCTCCGCACGCGGAGCATGTATTAGAAACGGCACTGTAGGCCCGCCCGACCCGGAGCCGAGCAGCGGCCCGACGGCCGGAGCCCCTCCCGAGCCCGAGCCGCTCCTGCGCGCCTCGGCGCCGCGGCTGCAAGATGCCGCTTGCCGTCGCTCGGACGTCCATTCCTGGTGTATGTTTCGATTTCGTGCGTGCTTTTTTTTCTCGCCGAGTGATCAAGGATGGTCCTCGATGGCCGTCGCCGAGAAAACATGCACACGTCCGAGCGATGCCACGGCCGCCCTCTGCCCTCGCGCTTGCCTCGCCGCCTCCCCCCGGGCCCCCATGAAGAGGAGGCGGAGCAGCAGGAGGAGGGGGAGGGGCAGGAGGAGGGGGAGGAGGAGGGGGAGGAGGGGCAGGAGGGGAAGGGGGAGGAAGCGGAGCATGTGGAGTATGTGCAAGCCACACGGTGGCATCCACCGAACCAAACAAGCTTGCCAAGGAGCAGTGAGGTGACATCGTCGCCGATGATTCGAAGAGAAGGCGACGGAGGAGGAGTTGCAGATGGAGGAGGGGGTGGTGCGCACAGGGGAGTCTCCAGAGACCCACTGCCTGTAGCCTATTTTGCGGGGGAGTTTCCAAAGTAGGCTACAAGCGCGCAATTTCGAGCTACTCCAAGGTTTTCCAGAGAAGGGGCAGTGGCCTCTCCCCCTGCTGTGAATTTCCAGAAACTCCCTCGCGGCCGAGCAAGTGTGGCCTCGAGGGAGTCTCTCGAAGTGGCCTCCGCCCGCAGGGCAGGGTTTTCCCTGCAGGTGCGCACTTCCTTCTCTCCCGTTCTGGCTTGGCCTCGAGGGAGTCTCTCGACATGGCATCCGCCCGCAGGGCGAGGATTTCCCTGCAGGCGCGCGCCTCCACCTCTCCCGCTGTGAATTTCAAGAAACTTCCTCGCGGCCGAGCAAGGGTGGCCGCGAGCGAGCTTCTCGACACGAGACGGCAGGTGCGCACCCGGGAAACTCCCCTGTGCGCACCTGCTGGAGGAAGAGGGCGTGGAGGCGAATGACCCAGATGACGAGGATGGCGCGTGGGATATGGCATGACGCGCGTGGAGCCAAGGCCGCCAGACAGGCCCCCCTCGGCCCCCCCAAGGTCCAGGGGCGGCATGTCGTCGTCGCTGCCCTCGGCGTTCGGCGCCGGCGCGCCCCGGGCCGCTGGCGCCTCGGCGGCTCCGCCGTACAGTCAAAAACCCTAAAAAGGACGCGCGGTAAGGACCATTGAAGCCGAAGTTGGGATTTTTGGGGCGGCGGACGACGAAAGCCTCAAGGACGCAAGAGCAAGGAAGAGCGAGGACGCAAGGGTACCCTGAGCAAAGTCGCGCCTCATTGGTAGGGTTTTTGACTGTAGCCCTCGGGCGGGTTGTAGGTGGGGGGCGGCCCACACGGGGGGCGAAGAAGAGGGGCCCCGCAGGGGTCCTCTTGGAGCCCCCTCCTGGAGCCAGCAGGGGCCCAAGAGGGGCCTGACAGGGCCCCTCCGGGGCTCCTCTCTCCACCCCCCCCCAGGTATGGGCGAGCGCGCTCCAATGCTTGCAAAAGTGCCTACTCGCAAACGTCTGAAAAAGCCAGGCCTCCTCTCTTTGTAATGTACTGTGCACCCCCCCGCGGCGGATCCAGGCCATTTGCGAGTAGCTGATTTGCGAGTAGTGGAACGCGCTTGTCCAATGTTTCGCCATCGCTCGGACGTCCATTCCCCGTGCATTTTTCGATTTCGTGCGTGCATTTTTCGCCACATGATCAAACATGCTCCTCAATGGTCCACGACGAGAAAAAATGCACACGTCCGAGCGACGCCAAGATGTAGGTCACCCCCCCTTGCCACCCGCCCGAGCGCCGCTGGCGCCGCGGCGGCTCCGCCGTAGTCCAGGGGCGGCATGTCGTCGTCGCTGCCCTCGGCGGCGGGCGCAGGGGCGCCCTGGGCGGCGGCGGCTGCGCCATAGTCCAGGGGCGGCATGTCGTCGTCGGACTCGTCGGCGCCTCGGTGCGGCGCTCGCGGGCGCTGGGCGTGGGAGGGGAGGGAGATCGACCGAATATCTCAGCGGCGAGCGAGGGGGGGAAGTGAGAAGGAGGAGGCCTTCTGAGAAGGCGGCGGGGCTTCTCAGAAGCCCTTTGGGCTTCTGAGAAGATTTCTGTGCCTTCGGGGGAACCTTAGAGAGCTTCTCAGAAGGCCGGAGGACTTCCGAGCCTTCTGGGAATGCCCGCCCCTTCTCACTTCCCCACTGGGCTTGCCGCTGAAGAGCGAGCCCCGAGGACTTGATGCTGGCCCCCACTGGGAGAGGGAGGATGGGTGGAAGATCTGGGCGGAGGGGGGACGATAGGAGAGGGATACGCGGAAGAGCAGGAAAGGGATGAAGAGTAGCAGCAGGAGGCCGGGCGAGCCAAGGCGAGATCTGGGGGGTCATCATGCGCACACGAACGCGAATGCAAGGGGTGCAATATTGGGTTTCTCGCGGGGCCGTCAAAGTGGGACAAAGCAAAGAGAACTTTCCCGACCTCGCCTGCAGTTGGGGACAAGGGACACCCCACCGAAGTCAGTGATGACCAACTGCCGTTTGGGAAGGGGGAATGGCACTACAGCCAACACAGTTGCGCCCAACTGCGCGAGGAACGCCAGATGGAAGAAACTACGAATCACCGTGCCCTTCCAATGCCCAAGCTTCGACTGCACCCAACGAACATCTTCTGTCCCGTTGGTTCCGGCGGGAAACAATGACGACAACCATGCATCTATCCCAAACAGTGCTTGCGTTTAGGGGGTGCTTGCGTCGCTTCTGAATTATTGGCAAGCGCTTCTGGGCATCTGGGCGCCCTGCATGGTTTCCCCCGGGGCCGTAGGCGACCCCAGGAGGAGGAGGAGGAGGAGGAGGAGGAGGAGGAGGAGGAGGAGGGGGAGGGGGAGGGGGAGGAGGGGCAGGGAGGATGAAGAGGAGGAGGAGGAGGAGGAGGAGGAGGAGGACAGGTCGCCTAAGCCCTTCGGAGAAACCCTCCAAGCCAACCGTGGGCGCCGCGTGCGCTGACTGGCGCTTCCGGGTGTGTTCGCCCTGAGGCCGCCCCTGGGCGCCTCCTGCGCTGGCCGCCGGTTCCAACTGTTCGCAGCCGCCATCCCTGCCGCAAAACCTACAAGCAACTTGCGTGGTGAGACAATCTCCTCCCCCTTCTCTTCCTCCTCCTCCTTCTCCTCCTCCTCCTCCTACAACCTACAAATCATGAGCGGGCATTCCGCGACCACTTTGCATGGTCTTTGGCAGGGATGGCGTGCGTGCGAGCAGATCCGTTCGCTGTGCGCTGCCCCACTGCACTGCCCCTGTCAAAACACGGTGCGCACGCCACACACCATGCTGACCACCCCGCCACCACTCTGCATTGGCTTTTGACAAGTATGGCTGGGGGGCGACATGTTGCCCGATGTGTGCTGACACGTGCATTGGCTGCCATACCTGTCGCCGCCTTACTGGCGCACGTGGCGAATCTGGCGCACCAGACACGCCTCGCACGCTTGGGTCCCTGGGCCACCTGGCGCCCATGGTGCGCGTGGCGCACTTGGCACGCATGACGCACCTCGCGAACGTCGCGCGGTTGGCGTCTGTATTGGTCCGCGATGATTTGTCCTTCCGGTGGCGACCTGTGCTTCTGTTGAGTCCTTGGTGCTACTTACATGGTGGGAGGATGGGTGCGAGTGAGCGAGACAACTTGTGCCGTCCCCGTCGCAAAAACAATTATACGTGCACGTTGCGGCAACACGCGACCACTTTAGACACGTTGGTTTTTGACAGCGGTATGGGTGCCAGCATATTGCCTAGTGTGCGCAGGCCCACCGTCCCTTTCTAACAATTAATGCACAGTGCATGTTGCGTCAAAAGCTTGGACCGTGCGCGAGCGCCCCCGCAAGCAATTTGAATTGATGGTTGGCGAGGTTTGTAGGGGGGGCTGGCCAATTATTTGTGCCTTCTGGGACTTGTTGCTTCCGATTCGACTTAGAGGCCTCGGGATGGCTCCAAGATGGCTCAAGAGAGCCCCAAGAGGGGTCCATGATGATTCCAACCAAGACAGCCCCAAGAGCGCCCAGAGCCCAAAGAGGCAAATTTTCAGACCCACGATGGGCGAAGCTAAGAAGCCCCCCCCTTAGGCCCCTTCGGTTAAAGCCAAACCTATTTTCAAACCGCTGTTATTTGACATACATTGGCATATCGGGGACATCATTGGGAAACATCTGGGTACGTGTATCTACAATCCGCCGGCCCCCTTGCGGGGCCATCAGGCTGCGAGAACTAGGCTTTCGGGAATGGACAAACCCTCCTGTAGTAAAACGTGGTTTAGTGAAAACGACCTGAGGCCCAAACCTGGCGGGCGCAAGCCTGGAAAATAACGGCCACGGCGCCCTCTCGAGAACCGAAAACGGACAATTCACTGATCGACGTGTCATTGTTGGGGCTTCTGTCCACCCCCGAGGCTTGCTGCTCCAGTTCCAGTTTCCAGTGTCCACTGTGATAGTGCCACGTTCTGCTTCCTGCTGTACATTGTGGAACTCCGCGCGAGGGGGGGGGGGAACGAACAACAGCCTGGTCAGCGTCCCCCCCTCCTGGGGTTCCCAAAATTCCTTGGGGGGCTTTGTAGAATACGCCGTATTCGTGTTTCCGAAGCCATGAGCCATAGTACAATCTGTTACCTTCGCGCCCCCGAAGCCAACATCTTTCGTATATTACTAAATAATCGCGTCACCGAGGCCATCATCCGTTGAACAATTTCGCAATCGTCGCGTCCCCGAGGCCACAAACCTTTCTAAATTAAGCAATGTTCGCGTCCCCGAGGCCATTATGCTCGTAGCTCACGCAATGCTCGCGCCGTGTCCCCGACGCCACAGACCAGAGTAAATCACCAGCGGCCATCAACCCTCGCAAATTACGCTGTGTTCCCGCTCCCGAGACCACACCTCCGTGTACACAAGAATTGCGCCTCCGAGGCAACACTCTCTCGAAAATTACGCAGTATCTGCGTCCCCGAACCTACAATCCCTAGTGAATTACGCGTTCTTCGTGTCCCCCGAAATCATAAACCCTCGTGAAGTGCGCAGTACTCGCTCATTCGAAGCGAGACGGCCCAAGAGTGCTCCAAGGCGCCCAAGATGGTCCCAAGACTGCCCAAAAGGCTCCCAAGAGGCCCCCAAGAGCGATCCAAGAGAACCCCCAAGAGGGGCCCAAGAGCCAACATCTGCGATGTTCCTGAGGTTGTTGATGGATTTCGGCACGCTCGCCTTTTCGGGCTCCCCAGAGGCCCCCAATAGCGCTCCAAGAGCACCCCCAAGAAGCCAACATCTGCGATGTTCCTTTGGTTGTTGATGGATTCCGGCACGCTCGCATTTTCGGGCGTCCGACTCTCCAAGACGGCCCAAGAGGACCCCCAAGACCGCCCCAAGACGGCCCTAGAGGCTCTCAAGAGCGCCCCAAGACGGTTCAAGAGGGCCCCAAGACGGCTCAAGAGAACCCGAAGACGGCCCAAGGATGCGCCAAGACGGTCCCAAAAGTGACCCTGATGGGGGACCCGAACCCTAAGTGGCCCTCGCTCGGAGTTCCGACGTTGCTTCACGACGGCGCCCAGGACTTACACCATGGCTCTTGCATACCACTTTATCCGAGAGAGGGGGCAGGCGACAGGGGGCGAAACCCTTACAGAGATGGCTTCAGGCATCTCAAGATGGCATCTAAGATGAGGCAAGATAGCTCAAGAAGATGTCCTCCAGGGACGTCCCAACGAGACCCCCGAGAGGTAGAATCATTCAGTTTTCAACTGAGCATTGCTGGTTTTTGTCTTCTGGCCGTTTTGCTTCCGAAGGGCCTCGACGACTCACAGTGGCTCCGAGATGGCACAAGAGAGGCCCGGAAGAGGTCCAAGACGACCCACAGAGCGCGCCAAGAGCGACCCAAGATGCGATCTTTCGGGCTTCAGAAGGGGCAGCGCTAATCCGCGCCGCCCTGTTTTGGCTCGATGGCCGCCAAGATGGCCTCAAGAGGGCCGACAGGTCCCCAGAAGGACCCCACGAGAGCTCTCAGAGGACCCGAACGGCTCCCAAAAGGGCCCCAAGAGAGCGCCAATCTTGCTCCAATAGGCATTCGATAGGCTCCAAGAGGCATCTAAGTTCACTGTAGTCGGCCTTTTTGTCTCACTATATGTTGTCATCTCTTGGCAAGTCGACTTTTGCTACCGCCGGCTTTCCGCCGGCTTCCGCAGGCGGAACCGCCGCCGTTCTGCTTCCGCCGCCTTCCGCCGACCTTCCGCCGAAGAAAAGATGACAGCTCCTTCGATCCATGAAGGCAAGGCCCTTGTTGAAACGCCTTCTATGCTCATCAAGATCGTTATCCCGACAGCTCGCTTGGGCATCGTTTCTGGATGAGATGGTTGGGATATGCTTAGCGTGGCAATTTTCTGTACTGCACTTGTCTTTCAAACAAGGAATCTAAAGCGCGAGAGACGAGTTTTGAAGAAGTGCTTGAAGAGTACGCGCGCGGAGCGTAGGCGAGAGCCACATCTTGGAGAAACACGACCCGGATCCGCTGGGACCTCTTCAGATGAACGCACGTGTCGCAAAACGAGAGCTACATATTGAAACACATCTGCCCTCCATCGTTGAGATCAGACACTTTTATGACGAATGCGCGCGGCACCGTGGCGAGAACTACATTTTGAAGACGACCGCCAACCATGTGACTGTTGAGAATGACAAGTATCAATCCCACAAGCGTGACTACATCTCTAACGAAACTCGCTGCCTCGAACACATGCGGCTCGCCAGCTTGCTCCGAAGCAGATGGCAACCCTTCCAGGACAGCCTGGGAACGCAGGATGGTAGGATAGGGAGCCAGCAGCAGCAAAAGAGCTCACACGCAGAAGAGGACGGAGGGACTGTGCATGCAACGGACGCTGGCCAATGGCCAACGGATCGATCCATCCCACGAGTGCGGGAACGTCAGCAGCACGCTGGTCCCACCACTGTGGGAGCTAAGGTCGGCCCAGGAAGGATGGATGAGGACGGGGAAGAGGGGGGAGGGAAGAGGACGGTAGCAGGGGCGGCGACGCCGGCGGCGACTGCGACGACGGCGGTGTCGTCGTCAGCCGAGGCCGATGCCGCCGCCAGCACCGCGCCAATGCGGAGCGGTCGCCGCCGCACTGGCGGAGATCCTCCGACCCCAGCTGCTCCGACCGTATCCAGGTGCCTAGAGCATTGGTAGCAGCAGCAATCGTGGCAGCAATGGCAGCACGAGCACGCGCGGTTCTATGAGGCAGGGGGCGGCTGTGATTCGCTGCAGGCTTCCTCTATAGGAGTCGCCATCGTATTCATAACAGTCGCCACTGTACCAGCACGATTCGTACTGCTAGGAAATATTACTATCACTGTCGGTCGCATTCGCACTCGCATTGGTAGCAGGAGCACTCGTGGCAGCAATAGCAACACTAACCACCGCTGCTCTAGAGCCACACGGCATCAACATCAAACCACCGCAAACGGCACCAACATCAAGCCACCGCAGCACCGTGAACGCGGCCAGCGGCGCGGGGCAACGGCTTGCTTAACGCACTGGCCGCGGCACGCAATGTCCAGCGTGCTACTGCGTGTGGTGTCCATTGCCGTCTCCGCACGGTTTCGTGCGGCACGCAATGTCCTGCGCACCGCACGACGCGCCCCAGACCCCCGACTTCGTGATTTTTTGGTTCGCAACGTCGACACCCAAAGGTGTGGACCCTTTCTCCCTGACCGGTTTCCATCCGAAATCAGTAGCTGACCGTCCTGAGCCCCGGTACGGGCCCCAAGAAGTGGAAAATAGCGAAACACCTCCCGTCGTGATTTTTCCCAGTCCTCTGTTGTTGGTTTCTTGTTTTGACAACAGATAATTGTCGCGTCCTTTTTCAAAAACCCTCCCTCCTCCCTATTTCCTCTCTCTCTCTCTCCTCTTGTCTCGTACCTTTCTCGTACTTGCCTCCGACCTCGCCATCCCTGCGGGGCTGCGATCTGCGAAACTGTCGGCACTGTCGAGGGTTGTTGGGGGGTCCAGCGGAGCGGCTGCTTACGCAGATCAAAACAGAACCTCGCAATCCTTGGGAGACTGCGATCAACGAATCTGTCGCCGCTTGTCGAGGGTTGCTGCGGGGGGGAGCACAGTTATGTTTTATGCAAATCACAACGGGACCTCGCCATCGTTGGGGGGCTGCGATCTGCGAAGCTGTCGCCGCTGTCGAGGGTTGCTGCGGGGGGGCGCACAGTGACGTTTCACGCAAATCAGAGCGGGACTTCGGAATCCATAAGGGGGGTGCGATTTGCGAAATTGTGGCTACGTTCGAAGGCTGCTGGGGGGGAGTGGCCGGCGCAATGTCGCCATGCGAGGATTCAGACTCGACCTCGGCATCCCTGGGGGGGGGCTGCGCTCTGCGAGTCTGTCGCCGCTTACGAAGGCTGCTGGGGGGACTTTCGCAGTGTCGCCATACGCGGATTCAGACTAAACTTCGCCATCCCTGAGGGGCTGCGATTTGCGAGACCGTCGCCACTTTCGACGGCCGCAAGGTGGGGCCAACGCTTCGTCGCCATTCAGAGTCGACCTCGCCATCTCAAGAGGCTGCGATCCGCGAAACTGTTGCCATTTTCGACAGCTGCTGGGGGTCCACGACAATGTCGCCATACGCGGATCAGACTCGGCCTCGCCGTCCCTGGGGGGCTGCGGTCTGCGAAACGATCGCCGCTGTCGAGGGCCGCTAGAGGGCCAGCGGAGTGTCTCCGTACGCGAACCCAGCTAAGAACTCGCCATCCATCCATGGGCGTTGCGATCTGCGAAACCTTCGCCACCTTCGAAGTCCTGCGAAACCTGCGATCTGCGAGACCTGCGAAACCTGCGAAACCTGCGATCTGCGAAACCTGCGAAACCTTCGAAGACCTGCGAGACCTGCGTTGCGATCTGCGAGACCTGCGAAACCTGCGATCTGCGAAACCTTGCTGAGGGGGTCAGCACAATGCCGCCACACGCGGACTCAAATCTAACCTCGCCATCCCCGGGGGCTGCGATGTGCGAGCGGGTCCAGCACAGTGCCGTCCTACGCAGATCCAGACTCGACCCCGCCATACCTGGGGGGCTGCGCTCTGCAAGACTGTCGCCGCTTTCGAGGGTTGCGTAGTGACGTCCTACGCAGATCAGACTAGACCTCGCCATCCGTAGGGGTTACGATCAGCGAAAGTGTCGCCGCTGTGGAGGGCTGCTGGGGGGGCCAGCACACTGACGCCCTACGCAGATCCAGATTCGACCTCGCCATCCCTGGGGGACTGCAACTTGCAAAAGTGTTGCCGCTCTCGAGGGCTGCCGGGGGGGCCAGCAGAATGACGTTCTATGCAAATCCGGCCGCTCCCGCCCTGCGGGTTGGGCCGTGCGAGACCTCTCTGACAAGGTGTTTGGCACAGTCTTTGGCCCTACTCACCAGTTCTGGTCAAAAACCTCCCTGAAAGTCCCTCCGAGGAGGCCCCACTCTGCCGCTGGCCCCGCCCCCCCGGCTTCAAGGTCCGGAACGCCACGGGGACGACCCAACCCAAGAGCGCCCCAAGCCGGTCCTAGAGAGTTCCGAGCAGTCCAAGAGAGCCTCCACATGGTTCCAGATCGCTCCAAGACGCCAAAGATGGCCTCCAGACGGCCCAAGACGCCTCCAAGACGCTCCAAGAGCACCCCCAAGCAACACTCATTGATTTTTCAATGGTTTTAGGAGGATTTGCACGTTTTCGCCATTTCGGCTTACCCACGCTCCAAGACGGCCCAAGAGGCCCCCAAGATCGCCCCAAGACGGCCCAAGAGGCCCCCAAGGGGGCTCCAAGACGGCCCAGGAAGGCACTAAGAAGGCCCAAGAGGCCCCTGGGACGGCCCAAGAGGGCCCCAGGACGGCCCCAAGCCCCAAGAGGGGGCCCAGACGGGGAACCCAAACGGAGAAGGGCCCCCAAGAGGACCTAAGAGGCCCCCAGGAGGCTCCCAAGAGGCCCCAAGAGGCCCCCAAGAGCTCCCAAGAGGGCCCCAAAAGGCTCCCAAGAAGCCCCCAGGAGGCCCCCAAGAGGCCCCTAAACTCCCCTGCAGAGGCCCCCGAGAGCCCTCTCGAGAGACCGCAAGAAGCGTCCATGAGGACTCCGACCCAAAACCCAAGCATGGTCGCGGGATGGGCCGACGGCCATTTGATAGCTGGAATACGCGCCGCGTCACGACTTTCGATGCTGCGCACCACTGCGGCAAACTCCCAGGGAGCGGCCGGTGATGCGCCGCCGGCGTCCTCGATTCAGATCCGACCTCAACCTTGCCATCCCTGGGGGGCTGCGATCTGCGAAACTGTCGCAACTTTCGGAGGCTAATTGGTGGTCCAGCAGAGTGACGTCCTGCGCAGACTCAGATGAGACCTCGTGGCGCGCCCCATCCCGCATAGGAGAATGTCGGGAAGAAGCCCAGCAGCTGGCAGGGCAACTCGGCCTCGCGCAGTTCTTGCGCTGACTAACTGACTGGTGGTGTGCCTCGAAACATCATCTCGCTACTTCCTCTGCCCTGCTCTCGTCGTCAATTCCTTCCTTCCTGTTGCCAATTCCTCACGATGGTTCCCCACTGATTTTCCAAGATCCGCGTTCCCCTTTTCCTCTTAGTCTTCGCCCTTCGTTTCCTTCGACCCAGGGGGATACGCACTCATCTTCATCAGTGTTTTGTCCATCGATCGGTGTCCTAGAAGTCGCGCAGCTCGCGAGCCTCCCAGGTAACGTTCGAGTACGCTCATTGCCACGTTACCGCCCCCCGACAACGTCGACCCCGCCATTTTGGCCACGCGTTGCGCCAGGGTTGGGTACTCCGGATTCCATAACAAAGCGGGGGGGGGGTCACATTCGGGGGGGGGGTCTAATTTGAGCTGTCTTGGAGGGTTCGGGCGGGTCTGGGCAAAGGGCCGCCCTTTCATGGATAGTCTGGGGGGTCTAAAACTTCTCGTCTGGGAGGGTTGTGACCCCCTCCCTTTTATTACGAAATCTGGAGCGCATCGCCAGGGTAGCCTCGCAAAGCGAGGGGGTCTTGGGGGCACGGCAGCACCGAGCGCGGCGGGCGGCGCGGGCCTCCCACGCCCAGGTCCAGGGGCGGCATGTCGTCGTCGCTGTCGTCGGCGCTCCCCCCCTCCGCTGCGGCCGCGCGGCCCTCGCCGGGGGGGCGCGCCATCGTCTGCGGCCGGCCCCCGCGGGCGGCGCGGCCCGAGCTCGGCGCGCGGCGTGGAGGAGGACGAGTTCGGGTGAGGATCAGTCGACCATCTCGGAGAACCGGCGGCTCTGGAGGAAGTCTTGGGCCCCGCGGCCTGCTCGGAGCGTTCCGGAATGCTGCGAGAGGGTTCCGGCACGCTCTAGGACGCATTTATCCTCGTCCTAGCCCCGTCCGAGGTAAGGAACGTAACCCAGACCCCCCCGCGGTGAAACAAATCACGACTGGAAATTTGTAGCAATTCAGAGGCACTCACCGGGCCTCGGGACCGTCCAAAAACGACTCAGGATGAAAGATCCGTCCCAGGGAAGGGGTCCAGACCTCTTGAAGTCGACGTTGCGAAAGAAACACGACGTCGGGGGTCTGAGGAGGTGAAGGAAGGACGGTTGGGGTCGAAATCCCTACGACTGGGGAAGGAGGAAGAGGACGAGGAAGAGGAGGAGGAGGAGGAGGAGGAGGAGGAGGAGGATGAGGAGGAGGAGGACAGAAGACCAGAGTGCACGCAAGATGTATCAACGATGCTGCAACTGAAGGCAACACCACCCACAACCCATGAGGGCCTGTAAACCACCCCCACCGCCAGCCATGATCCCCTGGATCACCAAGTCGGGAGTGGGGGTCCTGGGTTGGGTTGCCCTCGCCTTCGCTACAAAGAAGCGACCTTTTCTGAGGCCAGTGCAGTTGGGCATGCCGTTTCATGAAGGACTTGACTTGCACCCTCCCGGCGCATGATCAGGAATTCGGAACGTATGATCATACAATTCGACGATGTGTCCAACGAGACCCCACTTTCGAAAAAGGACCACCTCCCCGTGAGTGCAACTGTTCGCAAGTTTACACTTGTGGTCAGGAGCTTTGAGAGGTCCTAAACGAGACCTGCATCAAAAACGCCCCGGCCCCGTGTAATGCTAGATCTGTTGAAGGTCCGGGGCTTTGATATTAACGAAGTTTTTAGCACGAACTGTGTTTCGCAGAGCGCAGGGGAAACGAATTCGCGCGGCGCTGAGATGGGTACTCCATTTGGGAAGCGGCTTGTGTTCAATCTCTGCGCCAACTGCAAACATTGAAGACGAATGCGCGCGGCGCTAAAGCGAGAACCCTTCTTTGAAAAAACAGACGCCCATTTTTTCAAACTACTACAACATCTTAGAAAACATGTGCGCGGCGACGCGGTGGAACCTCGGGGATCTACGGACCCAGGTCACCATCAAGACCTAGGCAAGTCAGGCTTTGCAGGATCCTGCCACGTCCTGCATGATCCTGGATCCAATCCTGGGTCAGAGCGACCCCGGCTCTGCAGGATCCTGCAAGATCCGGCGTTCTGCCGGACCCCCGTTTGCATGGACCCCCGTCTCTGAAGGGGCCCAAGGACACACAAATAAATACACACAAATAAATACACGCAAATAAAAGGATCCCCCATATTTTCGCATACTTGTTGGGTTTTTGTCCTCCCCCCCACTTCCCATATTTTCCAATATTTTCTTGGGAATCGACGATTCTTTGTGTCTGTGTTTTTTCCCTCCTGAGTCTCTGCCAGGTTTTGAAAACGAGCGCGCGCGTCGCGCAGGCGGGGGCCCCATGTCGAAAACGGCCCCCCTTCCTGCCCCGACTGTTGCGGCATTTGAAGCCATTATTGAAGGGGCCCTGGGACACACAAATAAATACACCCAAATAAAAAGATCCCCATCTATTTTCCTATTATTTTCTGGGTTTCTGTCTTCCTCCCCACTGCCCATATTTTCCCATATTTTCTGGGGAATCGAGGATTAATTGTGTCTGTGTGTTTCTTTCTCTCCTGAATTATGCGTGGCACTTGGGCGACGATCGCACTGTGAAAACGGCTGGCGCTCCATCGTCGCAGCCGTTGCAAGATTTTGGAGCGAACGTGCGCGGGGCTGGGGCGACAACCAAATTCGGAGAAAGAGCCGACCCTAAAGCCCTGAAGCGGTTGCTGACCTTGGAACACGTCCATTAGTTGCAAACGTTTGTGACGAATGCGTGCGGCGTTAAAGCGATAGCCCTTTGTTTGAAAAAGGACCTGTCCTCCTTTATTGAAGCTGTTGAATCAATTTAGGTCGAATGCTCGCGGCGCCAAACAACGATAGCCACAATCTGAAAACGCCAACTTCATCCCTGAGCATGTTACATACGCTCAAGATGAATGCACGCGGCGCTAGGCGAAAAGAGTCTGTCATTTCTTAGGGACTGTTGCAAACTTTGGATGCGAATGACCGCGGCGCTACAGCGAGATAGATATGTTGAAGACCGCCCTCCCTCCATCTTTACAACCCGTTTCAAATTTCAAACCTCGAAGTCACGCCGGGTGAAAAAATCTCGGGCGACACGCCCGGTTCGCCCTACCGACGCGTCAGGGGCGCGACAAGGAGAAAATACCCATGAAAAAACAGAAGGAACATACCGGGGAGGAAGGAAACGCAAAGGGTACGGATGACAGAGAGGAGGCGAGGGAATGCTGCTAAGGACCAAGGAATACTGAAGATGTGAGCCAAGGCGAGGAGAAAGGGGGCGAAGAGGAGAAGGGGGGGAGGGCGGGGGAAAAAAACTGGTGGGAGATGGGGGAAGGGGGGGGGGCAGCAGCAAGGATGAACAGTGGACACGGGGCATGAGACGGAGGATGGGGTGGACGAGGAAGAGGAGGCGGAGGAAAGACGGCGAGGAGGATGAGCGGGAGCTCAGAAAGGACGAGGATCAGGAGCTGAAGTGCAGAAGTCGGCGCGAGAGGACTGAAGAGGGAGGGAGGAGGGATGAAGGAGTGATGAACGAAGGAATGAGCGAAGACGAGGGGTGGAGCGAGTGAGGGAGGACGGGGGGGGGAAGCTGGAGGGAGTACCGAAGGAGGGGGCAGGCAGCAAGGGGATCGCACGGATCCAATAGCGTCACAAAGCTTCTCCCGCCGCCGTTGTCATGCCCGCCTGCCAGCCCTGAGGTACGCAGGGGAATTTCCTCCAGCACCGGTGAAGGGGCCCTGGGACACACTAATAAATGCACACAAATAAAAAAAATCCAATATTTTGCTATATTTTCTGGGTTTATGTCTTCCCCACCACTTCCCTTTTTTTCCAATATTTTCTGGGGAATCGACGATTCATTGTGTCTGTGTGTTTCTTTCCCTCCTGAACCGGCTGCAACAAGGGGTGGACGTGCTGGGCGCAGTCGCTCGTGGCCTAGCCTGTGCCGGCGCGCCAGTGGCACGCAGCCCTCGAGCAGCAACGAAAGCGGCTGCCGCGGTCAGGCGGCCCCAACGGGTGAGTTCGAACTGCCGTTCGAAGCCCTCCGTTTCAAGATGGCCGCAAGAGGCCACAACGACGCCTCCAAGGTGGCCCACGAATTATCACAGGTTTCTTGTCCACGACCCAGACACGGTGGCGGGATGGCATCATGACCACTGGATGCCCAGGGCCCAGGGTGAGCGTGCTGGAGACTGGCCGTGGCTCCCAGCATCGGCTGGTTCTGAAGCGGGGGAGGCACAGCCACAGGAAAGGAACCTCACACAACGGACGAATCCACCCTGCTTGGAAAGATTTGGCTGAGGCCTTCAGCTCAGCGCCTACATGAAGGGGAACTGGGACACACAAATAGATACACACACATAACAGGATCCCCCATATTCTCTTATATTTTCTGGGTTTCTGTCTTCCCCCCCACTTCCCACATTTTTCTGGGAATCGACGATTCTTGTGTCTGTGTGCTTCTTTCCCTCCTGACTACAGACCAACCCAGGTCGGGGGACGCACCGGCCCGGGTCAGTGCAAACCTGGGCCAGTCAGACCTTGCAGGGCCCTGCGCGATCCTGCAGGATCCTGCACGCTAGCCCCGGTCACTGCACCCCTGGCCGTGCGGTACAGTCGGGGCGTTGACCTAAGGAACCCTAAGTAAGGAACGAGGCCCCTTTTTTCCATGAGTTAACCGTCGACTTCCGATCGAAAACATAAGGAAAACCTGAGGCACGCTGCGAAACACTTAAGGAACGCGGAGCCCCTCCCCAACGAAAAGGGTTCCTTCTTCAGGGCCCCGACTGTAGCCCCGGTCACTGCACCCCTGGCCCTGCGGTATCCCGCAAGATGTGGTGCTCTGGCTGGCCCCCGCTTGCATTGACCCCCGTCGCAAGGCTCCTCGGCGGCAGACAAACCTCCCTTTGGTGAACCTCCCCTTCGTGAAAACGGCCCAGGACCGAAACCGACGGACCTGGGCCCGCAAAAAGAACGGCCGCGGCGCCCGCTGGCGAACCGAAAACGGCCAATCCCTTAATCGACGTGCCAGGGTTGGCGGTCTCTCCGCCTCCGACCGATCCGGGGCGGCCCAAAGGGCGGCCCCGTGGGCCACGCCCGGGTCCCCGGGCCACACATCTGCGGTCGGGGCCGCGGCCTCCGGGCCCCCCGGGCCCAGTGCGTCGGCACATGCACACGCGAGTGCGTGGAGGAAGGATGGCAGCCGTGGCTCGGTGGGGCGGGGAGGGGGGGTAGAGTGAAGTTCTTCCTTCCAGGAAGAAGGGAATCTGTCAGTAGGCGGAGGTGCGGGTGGCGTGCGTACACCGACGAACGGAATAGATCGCCGAGCCCATTCGGGACCCGAAGCGACCCTCGTCGCAACGTTCCAGCTCTGCACGGCTGGAGTGCTGGCGGGCGGGCGGACGCAGCCGTGGTGGCCCTCCGGCAACAGTACTGAGCTGGTGCAGTCAGCCCGTATAAAATCAATACTCGGGGATGGACAGACCCCCCCTTTAGTAAACCGTGGTTTAGTGAAAACGACCTCGGGCCCGAACCTAGCGGGCGCAAGCCTGGAAAATGACAGCCGCGGCGCCCTCTCGAGAACCGAAAACGGACAATTCACTAATCGACGTGTCAGGGTAGGAGGTCTGTCCACCCCCGAAATACAGTCGGCCTCGACTGGACAGGACACGCGAGAGGACACAAGACCCTTCCGAGGGCCACGTTGCCACAAAAATGCAGGGAACATGGGTCGCAAAACACAGGACAC